GTATAGTTATTCGTCTGCCCTCGACGTGTGAAGAAGTGGCGGGCTCAATAGATATCGCTTAAGTTCTTCCAAGGTATTGGCATTCTGTAGTCCATGTGAAGTTGTTTTTCTTCTTCGGTAACGAGAAAAATCAGTGGCTATTATCGGAGGACCTCGAGATGAATCTCCCCAGGGCAGCAATACGCCTGGTTAGCCTTTGCACGACTTTTACGTTGTACACTACCGTGATATCCTCGATAGCTTTGATCTTGTCAAGGTTGATCTCGATTCCTCGGTTAGATACCATGAACCCAAGAAATTCACCTGATCTGACTCTAAACGCATATTTTTCCGGATTCAGCTTCATATTGTACTTCTTCAATATACTGAAGGTTTTTTGCAAATGCTTTAAATGGTCCTTTGCTCGCAGGGACATAACTAACATAGCGTCAATGTAAACTTTCATGGATTTCCCTATTTGTTCTTCAAACATCCAGTTTACTAGGCGCTGGTAAGTGGCACCGGCATTATTTAATCTAAAGGGTATTACGTTATAGCAGTATGTACTATACTTAGTGATGAGGGGGGTCTTTTCCTGATCATCCGGGTTCATTCATATTTAGTTGTACCTGGAGTAGGCATCGATAAAACTGAGGATCTTGTGACCGGTTGTGGCATCAATCATGCGATCGATGTTAGGCAAAAGGAAAGAATCCTTGGGACATGCCTTATTTAAATCTTTATAATCCACACACATTCTCAGTTTGTTCCCTTTTTAGGGACTACTACTATGTTTGCTAACCATTCTGGTATTTGACTTCCTAAATAGACCCTATTTTAAGGAGTTTAGTTACCTCGTCCTTGATGAAAGCATGTTTGATCTGGGACTGGAGTCTCCTTTTCTGCTTAACCGGATGGAATTTCAGATCCAAGCTTAGCTTGTGAGTAGTGATCTCCGGTGGGATCCCTGTCATGTCGATATGGGACCAAGCAAAACAATCTAGGTTAGCTATGAGAAATTGAATGAGTTCCTGAGCTCGGAGGTTAACCTCGTGCTCGGATATACCTTCCGATCGAGTAGATGCTCGATCAAAATGACTTGTTTCAACTCTTCGACCGTTGATTTTGTAGCATCGAAATCATCAGGTATAATAAAAGATCTGGGAACCCCGTAATCATCATCTTCGTCGGTCCCATGTTTATCCAATTGGGTCGTGGATGGTGTCGATAATTGAAATTTAGTTTCCCGCTTTGTGTTCGAACCCGGTTCATTTGACGTTGTCAGTGTTGATATTGGAATCACTTCTTCCACTGCAAACATTTTCTTTGTGGCCATTTGTTCCCCGTAGATTATTTTAATCTCTCCCGGTGTCGAGAATTTTAGCACCTGGTGAAGGGTGTCGAGGGTACTGCCCTCATATTGTGAATCCATGGTCTCCCGAACAGGGCGTTATAGCTCATGTCCCCTTTGATCATATAAAACTTGGTTTCATGGATGGTCCGACAGCATTCACTGGTAACGTTATTTCTCCCTTATTAGTTTCCCAAGCCATATTGAACCCGTTTAGCACCCGAGCTGCAGGCACGATTTGGTCCTGTAGGCCGAGTTATTCTACGACCCTCAATCGAATGATGTTGGCCAAGCTACCTGGATCTATTAACACATGTTTAACTCGAGATTTATTCATGAGTACAGATATTACTAGTGCATCATTGTGGGACTACATGATTCCTTCTACATCTTCATCGCTAAAAGACAAAGTTCTTCTAGTATGTAATCTCGAGTTTGCTTCTCCCTCGTGATGGATACTTTGGTGCTCTTTAACATCGAACCCTCATATGATCATGTGGATGACGTGTTGAGGTTCTTCTTGCTCGGTTTGTTTATTGGAGTCCCTATTTCTGAAATGATTCTTGGATCGGTCACTCAAGAATTCTCGAAGATGCCCGTTGTTGAATAATTGGGCTAACCCCTCCCTCAATCATCTGTAGTCTGTTGTTCTATGGCCGTGAGTGCCATGGTATTTGAACATTTGGTTCGGGTCCCTTTGGGCTGGGTCAGATTGTAGAGGTCGAGGCTATTTGGTATCTTTGATGTGTCCGATAGTCGATACTATAGCAGTACCATCTACGTTAAAGTTATATTCTATCAACCTCGGTGCTTCTTTGGTTCTGATAGGCCTGTCGAAACCATTCTTTCTCATGAGTCCTGATTGTTTTGGCCTCGATCGTTTCTCCTCTCATTTCGTATTAGAACTCCGTCCGGACCCATTGCTTATTCGATCCTCATTGTATGATTGGTACCAATCCCTGTTCGACCTTAGTTCACGATCAATATCTCTCTTGACTCTGTCGATGGCTCTAATAGGATAAACGGACCCAGAAGGAGCTCCTAGTTGATCATCTTCGATATATATCGGTTATGCACATCAGCCCAAGTGACAGTCGGATATTCTATCAGATTTTGCTCAATTGTTGTGAAGCCACTAAACTTCGAACATTGAGTCCTTGGGTAAATGCTTGGATGGCCTAATCATCAGCGACCGATGGCAGGTCCATCCGTTCCATTTGAAATCGAGATACGAACTCTCTAAGAATCTCGTTATCCTTTTGACTTACCTTGAAAAGGTCTGATTTCCTAGTTTCGACCTTGATAGCCCCAGATTGTCCTTTCATAAAAGGGTCTGCAAGTATAGATTGCACATATCATGGCTCCCTTCGACAGGGTTTTTCTGAATTTCTTCAACAAGACAGACTCGATCTCGTCATCCTCCAAGTTGTTTCCTTTGATGGCACATGTGTATGAAATGACATGCTTGTTTGGGTATGTCGTTCCATAGGAATCTCGGGCATGCAAAACTTTTTGGGGATCGGCTTTGGAGCCGCACTCGGAGAAAAGGTTTTTGTACAAACTTCTTGGAATCCAAGCCTTTCAATATCGGAGGTCTCTCGGGATCTGGCCGACCCTAGAATTGTAGGTCTCCACCTTTTTGCCATTTACTTCGATTTGCTTTTCCATTGACTCTATTCGTTTTGTCAGCTCTTCGAGCATCTTAATGATTTCGGGGTTGTTTCCCGACTTGCTCCCATTCGACCTTTCCACGACCGGCTCCTCCCTACGTGTGATTTCACGAGATGGATCGGGCTCAATCATGCTCGGTACGCGACTCTAGTTTTGTAGCTGGGATATTGCCGCATGTTAAGCCTATAACATTTCGAATATCATCCGTAGATTGAACCCGTCTCCTTCATTGTTTTGAGTATTCTGTCCCGTTCATCGAGCTCCACCACGAATGCTATTCTCGGGGTCAGTAGGGAGGCTAGTGTTGATAGCCACATGCAAATTAGCATCCAATGGGTCCGCAATTGGAATTCTAACGGGATCAACGGGTGGTATCTCGTTATCGGGCGCTATGTTATTGTTTTCACCGCGGTGACCAAACTCACCGTTAGTAGGTAGAGGTGCTAATTATGAGTTTGACATTTTTAGCTTAATCGTGGAATGAAAGACACTTCAAAGAACAAGTGAAAAATAGTGTGTGTTATGAAAATTCGTATCAAATAACCACTATTATCCTTAGTCCCACCATGGACGCCAAACTGTTTACTCTCAAAATCAGATAACAATTGAATTTATACGCACTTTTAAGGATACATGATATATTTGGCACAAGTTGAGAAAACAGATTAATATTGAAATCAATGACAGAAAAATGAACGCAAACCATGTAAGTTGAACAATGTTAGCCTTAAAGGTTGGCCACTCTCGAGCCAGAAATTTCCTCAATCTATGTTAGAATAGTGTAGCAAAGTAATAAGAACTAGAAAATAATAGTGTATTACCTTTTGATGCGTGTTACAATGTATATTACAAATAATCAGACCCCTTTTATATAGTAGGGGAGTCCTACTTCAGATACAATTCTACAAAAGGTAAGAAATCTCATAAATTTGCTAATTAGTCGATCTCTCGTTGATACGTGCCGAGATTTTTTCCGTGATATCCGATCCGTTACGAATATTTCGACTTTTTGTTATTTGGTCCGATAATATTTCCTTGAGCTCGATCCGAGTCGAGGTCGGTTCCGGAGTCGCAGGCTCGATGATCTAACTTTGTACCTTGGTTCGATATAATCTGAGGTCGAGCTTCAACCCATCATATTTCATTCCCGATCTATCATGTAGTAGACGGGCCCGATTTTGACCGTATACAGATAGCTTGCAATTCCCATCTCATATTTGTTTTTTGAGGTAAAGCTGAGTATAATTTGAGAATATTTTTCCAAAACTGTGAGGGGTCGTTTGGTAGGATGTATAAGAATAGTGTGGAATAAGGTGTATTAGTAATACATGGATTAGTAATGCATAGATTAGTAATGCATGTGTTAGTAATGCAAGCATTAGTTATGCAAATATTATTTCTTATCTATTGTTTGGTATGGTGTATTAAAATTATAATGCATTGCATAATTTTTAAGAAAAATAGTTGCTTACAAAAATGCTCTCCATATTCTCTAGCTTTAAGGGACTTTAAGGATAATTTTGTCTTTAACCATGGTAATGCATGCACTAAAGCCTTGGTATTACTATTGCCATAGTTTTCTATGCATTACTTATGCATAAGATAATGCCAAATATGATGTATAACTAATATACAAGTTGAAAAAATATACCAAACAAGGTATTAGTAATGCATAGAGCTAATACTTGCATTATTTTTTCTAATATCTCCTGCCAAACGACCCCTGAGAGTTCAAACTGTATGTAAAACCCATACAAGAATGAGACTTGAGCAGATTTCTACTATATTAGAAGTGCGAGTAAGTAGTGAAACTGACAGCACTTCATCGACTTCCCTGCTTGCCGACAAAAAATATTTTTGAATTTTCCGGTTTAAAATATCAATTATGCCCTTCTAATATTGGATTTTTGCACCTACGAAAAGGATTTTATGGTAATTTGTATGTAAGCTGAAATTGTCGCCGCTTCAAGTTTGCATTTATCCTTTCCTTTGCGTTTTTTCTTCCGCAGTTTTCTCTGGTTTTCCTATATAGATAGCTTCTTCCTACTGATTTTCACACTCTCACCAAAAAAATTAAATTCAACTTGGATTTGTTAACCTCAAGTTGCATAATCGAGGTTTGCAGTGATTATTTACTTTCAGTCGTTGATTTCTCTGAAGAACAAAGTTCTAATACTCAGATAGTTACAGAATCTTTTGGGCGTTTTCTTCTCGAAAAATATTCAGCTACTTATATATCGTTATCCATTTCATTGTAAGTTCTTCAACTTCTTCGTGATTATGTTTTCTAATCAAAGTTTGATTGTTCAACTCCGTGAGAAGTTGTTTTTTTATTTAAACATTGTGAAAAGTTTCTTTGTTGGTATTGAAACACAATGCTTTTTAATCCTTTTGTTTTAGTTGGGGTTGATGATAACACCAACTGATCTACAAGCCTTTCTTGGTTTATACTTGCTACCTGTTTTAAATGTTCGTAGTTTGACTTTGAGATATAATTGATTTGCTCCATTGTTTTGTCTCTTCAATCTTAGAATTTGCTTAGCTTTGGTGTTTCGTCGCATATAAAGTTGGTGTAGTATAATATAATGGAGAGTAGAGGTAGCAAATGCTTCGATTTATAGAAACATAATTTTCAGTTCTAGACAACCAAATACAAAGTATTTCAAAGAAAAATTATTTTATATCATCCTAAATAGGGCTAAGTGTTTTATGTTTTATAATCAGATTTGTTCTTGTATCACTGTGCATTTCACTATAGTAGTCTATTTGTCATATGGAATGTTATTTGTATTAAAAATGTCCATAAAAAATGGATTGAAGGATCCATGTTTTAGCTTTTGATGGCTAAAATTACTTTGGGATTAATTCCAGTTGCAAAAATAGCAGCAAAAGATTACTTCGTTAGTATTGTGTAATTCATCAGTTCAATTTTCCCAGTTTGATTGATTAAGATATTTAAGAAGAGTCAAATGAGCTAACCCATTAGGCAAAACTCGACAACGTCCATTAACATATAAAATTGCTTCCTTTGACTTATCTTTTATCCTTTCCATTTTACTCTCATCTATCAATGAACCCATTTTTAAAGATTTAATTTTTTATGAAAAATTATTTTGTCTTTGATGATTGAAAGAGACAAAAGAAAGAAAAGTATAGTTTATATTACTGAAAAAAAAATTAAAAAGAGTCATATGTTATATGTAAGTTACATAGGATTTTATTTGAATCATAGTCAGTTGGTCTAGTAGATAGAAATGAGCTATCCAATTATGCTATATGATACTACAATTAATTAACACGGAGGATCATGATGGGAGGATTATGAATTTTTACTCTCAAGTCTTAATTAAATATTACGAGTTCGAGTCATAAATATGGTTTCTTCACTCTTAGTCAAATATCCCGGGTTCAAGCTATGAGGCAAAAATAAATTTGCTCAGCTATGCTTCTATTTAAGATATCCATGTTTTAACTTTTGATGCCTACTACATTACTTTATTTTACCACGTTTTATCCAAAGTTTTTATCTATTTTAGTATGTTCTGTTTAATATCACCATAACGAGTGATGATATTCTTTGGTTTGTAGTGCATATATTTTACTTCTAAGTTTTCATTTGGTATATGTGAAACTTATGCAGACCAAAGATGCCAAATTTTAAAAAACTTGTGGATTCAACATGCTGGAAACAAAAAGGGAAACTTCAATGCTCTGAAGAAGAGGCATCCAAATTAAACAAAGAGGTCGCGAAATGTATAAGGCGAGGTCGGCTGATAAAGAGAACTAAATTTACTGGAGCGCGAATGACATACCTTCATTCTAGAATGCAGAATCCAACTACTGATTCCACTGAAGTATCAGCTTGCTACCAATTTAATAGAGAGTTAGCGAGGCAGAGAGCTGCTCTAATATGAGCCTCATCTTCTACCTTGAGAACATGTTTGTGCGTTAAGATTTTGTTACCCTTAAATAAACTGTGTGATACAGATATTTTTTATGCTTATAACTTGCTCTTATGTTTTAGTAAATGTGTTCACAGTTAATGATTTCACTGTTTCTGATAATGGAAAAGATCTACATGGTCGCTCTTCCGTTTTTGAAGTTGGTAAGTGCGAAAGTATAATGTTGAAAGTTGTACAATCTTTCAAGACCCAGATTTATATGATAATTCGTTTTATCTTAGGGTCTACATCAGGAACGTGTAGTGAACAATATAATATTACCATGCGTAACGCTACAAGAAAAGGTTCGTTTCCATTTAGCTTTAATGTCATTTCAGTCATTTCTTTTTCAGGACTGGCCTTTTTTCATTCTGGCAAATCTAAAATATATAGGCCTTACATCTAAAAAAATGTGTCTCTAGAATACTAATGACTTGCCCAGTAGCCCTTTTAGACTCAAAATTATATCAAATTGTATATTTTGTAGAGCCAAAAAATTTCAGTATGAATCACCGGAATTTTGCTATGACAGTGGATTCGTGAAATTGATTCACTATGGACTGCCTTGTGAATTGCTAAATCTTTATTTAGGAAACTCTGAGGAGTCCAAATATTTTCGCACTTATGTTAGATTATATAACAATATGTTTGCATTTACTTCTCTTGGAGTGAATTATGACAGAGATTTAGCGAGAAGAAATTGTGGTATTTATACGTTTAGAGTTCAAGGAAAAATGTATCATTTCATAATAATCTCCTACCTTCGAGCCAACCAGCAAAAATCTGCAGTTATATTTCTATGATACTGATAATGAACTAGCAAATCGGATGGCATTCTCTGACAAGCTTAATGAATCGGTTATCAAGACTTTGATGGACACATTAAAAGTTAATACACACTCTATCTTTTTGAAATCTTTAACAGATATCCCAGAATTATTAAACTTTTACGTTGCACCTAAGTCTGACTCTGGTTTAGATCAAAGAAAATATAACTTACCTACATCATCTGAAGTAGCAGCAATATGGATAGAAGATGAAAGTATTTCTCTACCACATATTCAAATTTACACATATAGTAGCAAGAACCAATTGGTAAATTAGTACTATAGCTATTATGATCCATTACAATATCCATTACTATTTCCTTATGGACAGAACGGATGACATTATGGTATTAAAAAGATTATTCTGACGAATAATACTATTAGCAGTGGAACTTATTGTGAAAATGAACAACTACCGAGTGTAGAAAACATGTGTTCAGTCGACATGCTACTTGACATGGAAGCAGAACTTTTGGAAAAAAAGAAATGAAAAAGAAATACTGTGTCATGCCATGAGTATTACTATTACAAGCTCCAAATGAGGGTCAATGAAGTAAATGGAGTTTTGCATGCTGGAAGAGTGTTCCAACAATACCCAGTTGACGAATTCATCAAGCTTAAGACTCAAAGGTTAGATTTCTGTTCATTTAATCAAGATTTATTTAGAATTGATGCGTTAGCAGGGATTCTTGATGTTCTAAGACACGGAGAGAGAGAGAGAGACATGCAACATTGGAAGACAAAGTTTTCTTCCTGCAAGTTTTATAGGAGGTCCTAGGGATATGCGCCGACGATATATGGACGCTATTGCGTTAGTGCAAAATTTTGGGAAACCTGATATATTTTTGACAATGACATGTAATCCATCTTGGCCAGAAATAGAAGAACATTTATTGGTAACAGATAAGGTTCAAAATAGGTCCGATTTAGTTAGTCGTGTGTTTAGAGCAAAGGTAGAGGAGATGAAAACAGATATTCTAAAGAGAAATATATTTGAAAAAGTTGTTGCTTTTATGTACACTATTGAATTTCAAAAGTGTGGTCTTCCACATCCTTATTTTCTTATCATACTCAAAGACGAATATAAATTGTTAACTCCGGAAGCTTATGATAGAGTTGTTTGTGCTGAAATACCTGATTTTGATGAGAATGATTACTTGTATTCAGTTGTTACTAAACATATGATGCACAAACCTTGTGGTAGTTTAAATCCTAAATGTCCTTGTATGAAGAACCGAGAATACTGTAAGTTCAAATATCCAAAAGATTTTGCTGATCATACATCAAAGGGAAAAAAATGGATACCCAATGGCAAAATAACGGTAAACGTGTAAATATTAGAGGACAATTTCTTGACAATTCGTGGTTAGTTCCTTAAAATCCATATCTATTGAGCAAATTTACTGTCATATTAATGTTGAAGTTTGTTCTAATATTAAAGTTGTCAAATACCTTTATAAATATATCTGCAGGGGACATGATAAAATTACCTTTTTCGTACATGTTGATGATCCAAATATTGAAATAGAAGAGATCAAAGAATATCAATCTGCTAGATGGGTATCTCCACCAGAGGCAACTTGGCGTTTATTTGATTTTCCCATTAGCGAAATGACTCCATCTGTTTATCATCTTCAGCTACATCTTGAAAGACAATAATTCATCTCTTTTAAAACCACACAGGCCGTAAATGCAATTATAAATAATCCCATGATTAGGAAAACAATGTTGACAGAATTCTATTTGATGAGCAGAGAAAATCAAGATGCCAAGAAACTAAATTTACTCTATAAAGAATTTTCAGAATATTTTGTATGGTCCAAACAATATAAAATATGGACACATCAACAACAGGACACTGTTATTGGACGTATTGTGACATGTCATCCAATAGAGGGGGGAAAGATATTATCTTAGATTATTATTAATGAATATTAGAGGACCAAAACCATACCAATATTTGCTAACTGTAAATGGAATATGTTGTAGTACATTTAGAGAAGCCGCCGAAAAACACGAATTATTACAATGTGATAATAACTTGGTTGACTGTATGTCAGAGGCTGTAAGATATCAGATGCCTTATAGTTAAGACGTTTATTTTCTACAATTTTGGTATATTATAATCCTGCTAACCCAAGAGAACTTTGGTACCGATTTGAAGATTCTATGTCTAAAGACTTCAAGATTTGCCACATTTGAACGAAAAACAAATTCGTCGTATGGCTTTAGATCATATTAACAACATTTTGCATTCAATGGATCGTGATATAAATGAATTTGCACTTGTACCAGAAAGAGTTTTAGCTTCATCTGCTGCTAGGGAGGCTCAAAATTCTCATTTTGAAAGAAATATAATTGCTAGAGAAGAAGTTTTATTACTAGAAACAAAATTGAACAATGAGCAGCGAAAGCATATGATGTAATCCTTGATAGAATATTTAGGAATAAATCTGGAGCTTTTTTTATCGATGGTCCTGGAGGAACATGCAAAACCTTTTTGTATCGTGCATTATTGGCTGTTGTACGATCAAAAGGATTCGTAGCTTTAGCAACAACAACCTTTGGTGTTGCAGCTTCAATTCTTTCCGGAGGACGGATTGCTCACTCCCGTTTTAATTTTTCTATTGATATTGATGAACAATTCTTCTGTAATATTAGTAAGTAGAGTTCGCTTGCATCACTGATACGAGATGTCAAACTAATTATGTGAGATGAAGTATCAATGGCCAAAAAATAATTGATAGAAGCTTTTGATTCATTACTGAAAGATCTAATGGATACAAACACTCTTTGGTGGAAAAGTTGTCGTTTTTGGCGGTGATTTCAGACAAACTCTTCCAGTTGTTCGGAGGGGAAAAAAGAGGATTTCATAGGAAAAATTTATTGTGTTCTGAAATATGGAACCAACTTGAAAAATTGCGATTATCAGTAAATATGCGAGCAAGAACAGATCCTGCTTTTTGAGAATATTTGATGCGAATAGGGTGTGGAAAAGAAAAAATAAATTGCCAAGATAAGATTGAAATTCTTGATTGTTTCATTGTTCCTTTTATAAGCGAAAAAGAATCGTTGAATCTTTTATTTAGAATATTTATCCAGATTTATATACATCTGCTTGTAATATGTCTTCTACAACTTCTCTTGTCATTTTGACAACAAAAAATAATTTCGTTGACGAAATAAATGATATGTTGATAACTCAATTTTTGGGTGAATCTAGGACATATGCAGCGTTTGAAGAAACTATTGAAACTACCGATCAAAGTCAATATAAAAATTTCTTGCATACTTTACACCAGCTGGCTTGCCTCCATATAAATTAACTGTGAAAAAGAATTGTCCCGTTATTTTACTGCGTAATTTGAATCCGTGTGAAGGTTTATATAATGGTACACGACTTGTATGCTGTAATTTCGAAAGACATGTGATAAGTGCTAAAATTGCAAGTGGTGACTTGAAAAACACACATGTATTTATTCCCATAATACCTTTGTTGTCTTCACAAGATGAAAAACTGCCTATTCCTTTCAAAAGACCACAATTTTCTATTAGATTATGTTTTGTTATAACGATAAATAAAGCTCAAGGTCAGATGTTATTTGTTGGAATTTATTTACGAGAGCCTGTTTTTTCCCACGGTCAGTTTTATGTTGCTTTATCACGAGCAAAAAACTTAGTTTATGTGAAATTATTGATCTGACCGCCAACAGCTGATAGCAACGATGATCATACAACACACAATGTAGTATATGATGAAATCATTCAAGCGTCCCTCTTGTGAATTAACAGTAACACTATGAGCAGTCACTTATTTGAGATTTGATGTACATCTAACTGATATCCTGCAAAAAATTGATCCTCAGAACCTACAAATTGGATTAATATCAGATAGATGTTGACAGAGATGTCTCTGCATCTTGAATCCTTGCTTCATTAAAGATCCTAAAGGTGGAATACTACTTGAATATTGCACTAACTATCCGATGTAAATTTTTTCTTGAATATACATTTAATACTTGAAACCTTGCTTTGATTAATAATTTTGCGTATCATCTATATGTTTACATGTTTGCTTAAAGTGGACATATATGCATGAATGCATGCCGATCAATAATATTCATGTTAAGAAGTTTTCTGTTATTTCATATTATTTTGCTCCTTTAGATAAATAAAAATACCTTATGTATTCTGTAGCTTACTTAAGTTTACTTGCTCCAGTTTGAGTCCTAGAATTTTTTTTTATTACAGATATTATGAATTCAATTTAACGGTTCTGAAAAGCTTAAAGTCTGAATCCTCATTTTTGCTAGGTCCACGCGGATTATCTTTTCCCTTCAGTTCACCCCCTTTTCATTCAGTTGCCCTCTTTCAAATTCTTTTGGAAAAGATTCGTTACCTGATTGTGATTTGCTTTTCTCAACAAGCTACTAATTTGAATGGACGCTTCCTCTGAACTTCAGTTCTCCTCCTTGGTTTGCCTGTGCATGTCTTTGAAAACTTTGGTTAAATTAGTACTTAGAAATAACTTTATAGAATATTCCTCATAAACTATTTTGGTTTAGATGTAGTTTCTATTCATTCTATGTCCGTGATTTACAGGTATTAACAAACTACAAGGATGATCATATGTTATGGCTGGCTAGCAGTTCCAATACTAAGTACTCTACCAGTCCATTCATTCTCTCTTTAAATTTATTTAAGAACTTAAGTTTTGTTACCTTTACAAATTATCTTTCATCGGATCTAATTGGAACAATTAGATTATAATTCCTTGAGCCTTCGCTCCAATAAATAGTGTGTTATGAAAATTAATGTTTTTGAGATTTTAGACTTAATAAAAAAAAAATTATTTGCATGTTTGCTTGTGTGACGACCCGACCCGTCGTCTCATGAATTACTACTCCGTTTTCCCCATTTTCAGCTTCCTTATGCTTCATTATCCATATCTTGTGTAATCGAGTTGATTTGAAGTGGTTTTAATAAGAAATGAGACACTTAGTCTCTTTTAAGAAGCCTTAAGTTGGAAAAGTCAACCGGACGCTGACTTATGAGTTAGAGTGCTCGGAGGTGAATTCCGATGGTTCGGTTAGCTCCGAGAGATGATTTGTGATTTAGGAGCGTGATCGGAAGTGATTTTGGAGGTTCGGTGTAGAAGTTAGCCTATTTTGGCGAAGTTAGGATTTTGGCGAAATCCAGTTGGTATGCGAGATTTTGATCCGAGGGTCGGAATGGAATTTCGAGAGTTTCTGTAGCTTCGTTATGTTATTTTGGACTTGTCTGCAAAATTTGAGGTCATTCAGACTAGTTTTCATGTGTTTCGGCATCGGTTGTGAAATTTGAAAATTAAATAAGTTCTTAGGCTTGAATCCATGCATAATTGGTGATTTTGATGATATGTGATGTGATTTGAGGCCTCGACTAAGTCCGTGATGTATTTTCAGATTTGTTGGTGCTTTTGGTTGAGGTCCCGGGGGCCTCGGGTGAGTTTTGAGCGAGTACGGACACCCCGGAACTTAGAAAAAGGGAGAGGGCATCAGTGGCGGCGCGAACCGCGCTCCTTCTCGCGCTGGGCGCGCGGCCGCGCAGGGGAAGAATCTGCAGGTTGCTGGTTCTACTTAGGAAGCTCATATCTTTTGATCCATAAGGAATTTTGAGGTTATTAAAAAACGAAAGTTGTAGCCCTTCGTGTCTAGTTTCCAGAAAGGTAAAGATATCGCAATTTGGACACATGTAGCGAAAGTTATGGCCAAAATACTGAATCCTGTCACTGCAGTCAAAAAGCTGCGCGGCCGCAGTCATTTTTGCGCGGACCCCGCTGATTTTGCGCAGGCNGTTAGGATTTTGGCGAAATCCAGTTGGTATGCGAGATTTTGATCCGAGGGTCGGAATGGAATTTCGAGAGTTTCT